ACACACACACACACACACACACTCTCACACTCACACACTCACACACACACACACACACACACACTCACAATCCACCAGCCGTAGAGGTAGATAACAGGAATCGTGACAAGAAGCCCGCTTCCCAGACGTGACACGCCACAGTAAAATCCCCCCCAGCTTAACGCTGTGTTTATCCAACCCTCCAAGCCCACCTCCAATTTCCCGCCGCCAAAATTCTTCCAATTTTATTTCGAATCAAAAGACCCCCCTCTTTTCCTCTTTCTGACTACTCTCCCCCCAGTCCTGAAGACACCTCTATTTCTGCTCTTTCTGACAACCTTCCCTCCAACCAACTCCCCCCTCCCTTAGCCCCAAAAGACTCGGAATAACTACTCCTATTACGGGGCGTGATATGAAAGAGCATTAATTTCTCCCCCTGATTCTGACAAAGACTTTGGGATTGTTTTGGAAAGACGAGAGCTGGAAAGTGTGAACAGAAATAATGACCGGACGCACCTCCCTCTGTTACTTGACACTGACAGATTGGTAATAGGCGTTTACAGCCAGAATGGTCAAGTGAAGGCTAGAGGAGGAAGATATTATAATTATTACCTCTCTGGAATTGCGTCTTTCTTTGGATACACTAACAACCGTAATTTTTGTCTTTTGTGTATGTGTTTATGTTGTGTGTGTGTGTGTGTGTGTGTGTGTGTGTGTGTGTATGTGTGTGTTGTGGGGTGTTGGCGTTTGTGAAGAATGAATGATAAAAATTATATTATTGGACTATTGTTACTGGATATTTATACCCCCCAAAAAACACTCGTCTCATAGTCTAAGCTTTAAATGTAGGGTAGTGAAGTAGAACGTTGTATTTGCGCTTGTAATAATAAATAACAAAATTATAAAAAAAGATAAATGATAAATAAATCTCTCTCTCCTGGCACCTGAGGGTTTGCGGAGGTGTCAGCTACGACGAAATAACAGTAAATGACGTAATGAGAGGACATGTCTTTATAATTTAAAAAAATCCTTTCTTTCTTGACACTTGGTGGTTTACGGCAGTGCCAACGACATAGAAATAACATGAAAATGACGTAAGAAAGTCTTTCTATTATCTCGACGTGGGTGTGGCAAGGCTTATCGTTCGGTAGCGACAACAACGGAATGATAACAAAGAGGACTTAGTCCTTCCTCACTCCACTCCTTGACACGCTCGGGTTCTTAGTGTGGGGCTCTCGTCCACAGTTTGGGTACCCTAGTTGAAAGTTTGTGGTACCGTAGTTGAAAGAGAGGACTGGAGTAGTGTGAAAGGTATGCCGAGTGGGTGGGTGGTTCATGGGTGGGTGGCTGTTGGGTGTGCCTTGCAGCATGATGACAATGGAACCTGCTTTAATATTGGCCACATATCCAAGACAGCCACCTATCTATATAAACGTCCGATGTTCAGTCGCCCGCCCGCTGTGTCTTTTAATTTCCGTACTATGACACTGTCCAGGACGTCCACTTGTTTAAGACAACCTTTTTTTCTTCTTGACAATGGGTCGCCGTCTTTGACAATTTCGACTGTATAACAAATAGATCTAATTGAACCTTCTCTAACGACCACCTGTCCAAGACAATCTCCTGTACAGGGGACCACTTCCTATCTCTCCGTTGCGTTTTAAAACGTATTCTAACAACACTATCCTTTAGGAACACCTGTCTAAGACAACCGCTTTTCTCCTCGACGATTATAAATGACCATATTGGACAGTTTCCACTGTACCTGTCACCTCCACCTTACGCTACCCGGGACAGAACACCTGGAGCTACCCCTTGGTACCCCCGCCCAGCGCGGTGTGTTCACCAGACGCTACCCGAGTTGGCTCTGTTCACTTGCTGATTATAAATCCGAACGTAGAAGAAGAAAATTTAATATATGTCCCAGTGAACTTATGAACGCAGGACAGGGAGTTGTGGTGCTGCTTGGGGGGTCGTTGGGGGCAATGGTGTGTGTATTATATATATTTTATACGCGCGCGTC